CACAATGTCATAATAGAGACTTAATGTATTGATAATAATAACTATTGAGAACAATATATTGGAGCGTATTAATTATGAAGAGTTGGTGGCTAAATTTGCTTCCAAAATGTTAGGAAAGCCTTACGATTCATGTAATTATATATGATTATATATCGTAGTATCATTCTTTTGTTATGATTATACATCGCAAATTTCCCACCATTAGGAGGAGAAAAGAAAACCCAAGAAAAACATGTTTCATGGCATGACCCTTCTTTATCATATATTGACCATCGCACAACGTAATGTGAACTGAAAGTTCAAAAGATAATGCATTTCCAAAAAAAATGGAAAATCAATTACCTGATTCATTTACTGACTCGAAAAGGGTGACTAAACATATATATCAGTTGTCAATGCTTTAGCTTGAATTTAAATTCCAGATAAACAATTTGACGATAAAGCCACTCAAGAGTCTAAAACACGCATGAAGCGTGGAAGACCATTTCGTTCTAAGGATAAAAATTCCCAAAAAAGAAGTGGAGCACAAAATACACTTGATCATGATGAAAGTGTTTCTAGAGAAACAAAAAATATCATAACTTCCCCAATAGAAGAAATAAATGATATTAATAAAGAGATTGCGATAAATTATGGTCAAACAAATAGAGTATATGACCAAAAGGAAACTGATAATATAAGTACAATATTTTCTTATTTAGTTGCATGTGATTTTATAAATGGTGGTCTCGAACCACAATCTATCATTAAATGTCAAAAAATACATGATTGGGCTAAATGGAAATAGGTTCTCTTAATAAGAGAAAGGATTTTTGGGGTTATTATTCTCACCTAGAGTTATGAAACCATTAGGGTACAGATGGATCTTCATACAAAAAAGAAATGAGAAGGACGAAATTGTAAGATACAAGACTAGGCTTGTGGCTCGAGGTTTCTCTTAAAGGCTTGGAATTGATTATGAGGAAACATATTTTCTTGTAATGGATGCAACCACTTTTAGTGATGCGTCTTATGGATGTTGTTACAACTTACTTGTATGGATTACTTGATAGTGATATCTATATGAAAATCTCTGAAGGATTTAAATTTCCCGAAGCTTTAAGTGCAAAACCTAATGAAATGTATTCTATAAAACTACAAAGATTTTTGTATAGGTCAAAGTAATTTGGACGCATGTGTTACAATTGTTTAAGCGATTATTTGGCAAGTAAAGGTTATAAAAATAACAATATTTGTCCATGCATACTTATTAATAAAACAACATCCGGATATGTGATCATTGCTATCTATGTTGATGATCTAAACATTATTGGGACGAATAAAGAAATCTGTGAAGTGATTGAATTTTTGAATAAAGAATTTGAAATGCAAGACCTTGGAAAAACCAAATATGATCTTGGTTTGCATATGCCTAATGGAAAACTTGTGCATCAATCAAATTATACAGAAAGAGTCTTAAAATGTTTCAATAAGGAAAATGTCAATCCTTTAAGCACTCCAATGGTTGTTATATCATTAAATCTTGACAAAGATCCATTCGTCCATGCGAAGAAAATGAAGAAGTCATTGGTCTAAGAGTACCATATCTTAATGCAGTTGGGGCTCTTATGTATCCTACTAATTTTACTAGATGTACCATTTCTTTCACTGTAAGGTTCAGTTCATCCCCGACAAAAAGAAATTGGAATGGGATCAAGCACATTTTCCAATAGCTTAGAGGAATTACCGATTTAGGGTTATTTTATCGTAACAATTCAAAACAAGGATTGATTGGTTATGTAGATGCATGTTATTTGTCTGACCCTCATACGCCTAGATCTCAAACTAGATACGTATTCATGAATGGATGTACTGCAAATTCCCGACGTTCTCAAAAGCAAACACTTGTTTCCACATCCTCAAATCATGCTGAAGTAATTGCACTAAATGAAGCTAGTAAAGAATGTACATGGTTAATATCGATGAAACAAATCGTTTTAACTTCATGCAGACTTAATAAATATATATGGCCAACTTTAGTTTATGAAGATAACTCAACATGTGTCACTCAAATGAAATAAGGATATATTAAGAGCGCCTGTAATCTTCAGAGAACATGTCTATGGCTGATTTTTCCTTCTGCGGACCTTTTTATGAAGACACTTCCTATTGCAATCTTCAGAAATCATGTCCATGGCATCAGAATGCGACATGTGCATAACATATAGTGTAACAGATAACTAAATGAAGGAAAGTCAACTATACACTACACTCTTTTCCCCTTTGCTAAAGTTTTTTCTCACTGTGTTTTCTTTAACAAGGTTTTTAATGAGACAATACTTCAAATTTGAACCCTTATCTAAAATGATTTCATCCAAGGAGGAGTGTTCTAAATTATTGAATGGCATCATTTTCTACCCTAATGTCAAATATGCGTAAGAGTTATTTTCAACTCTAATGACAAATATGTCAAATATGTGTAAGAACTCATTACTTATGTCTAGTGAGTTTACTAGTATAAATAACACGATTGTAAATGTAAACGACATCAATTTGAATACACTTTACAAGTGATCAAATTCTTTCCAAACCTTTATTAAAAATTTAGTTTAGTTTTATTAATCTTGTTTTAATTAAGTAATATATATATATATATATATATATATATATATATATATATATATATATATATATATATATATATATATATATATATATATAACACCTTCTAATATTATAACAACGAACATATTTCATGGTTGATATGACAATATGATGGGATGTAAAAAGGATCCTATATGAGTGTGATGTGCTGGAATGTGGTTACCATCATCACGATCATATATTTTTTTCTCTCCATATCTTTCTACCTCTCTATATTAATCAATAAAAAATATATTTTATTTAAATAATCAAAAAACTAAAAATAAAAAAGATATAGTGATATGTAGTAGTTATATACGATCTTAATTTGGTTTTGTGATGATATGAGAATGACATGGTGCCACCATATTTATGTTTAATGATGACATCATGCCAATACCGAATAACCTAACATAATTTAGATAACTAAATATATACATGAAATCAAACTATGCTATCAGTCGCGTGCTATAGCAATGCTATAGTGACACTATAGTGTTTCGTGATGGTGAAGAACCACTATTTTCAGTTTAGCGCTTTCGATTCACGGTAACACTATTAGCGACAATATTGACTACTAATTACCGCGATAACCATAATCGATATAGTGGCGCTACAGGCGCTTTTGCATTTTCGTTCACATTTGGGCCATTTGGTTACTTTAAAAAAAATGGTTGTGAGCTAATTATATGTTAAATCTATTTTTTTAATGAGCCCACCACACTTGCATTTTAAAAAACCTGAATAACTAACCTAATTAAAAGCAACTACCAACAACTCTCTTTCTGTATTCACGACGACTTGAGCTGCTATGGTCAAACTCGATTAATGCTTTTTTGTAAATCGACCCACACCTGCGAGGTTGCGACTTGGTACTTCACTCCTTAAATCGACCACGATGACTTGGGCAGTTGAGCTAGATCTTGAATTCGGTATTCACTCTCCTTTAATCGACCTCCACAGTCTACAACATCAACTTCCCTCCCTCAATCGACTTCCATACTCCACTTCGCAGTACGAGGTATGTAATGTTTTCTTTAATCCTTTCCTTTCTAAACACACACACTGCAATAAACAATTACACAGACTTCGACCTACTCTTCGACCTGATGTGAATATGTGATTGTCAAATGCTTCAATCACTCACTGTGAATCTATGTTAAATGTTAAATGTGATGTTTCCAATGAGTTATGATCTTGATCAGTTAATCTGTTAGGAAATAGGAACATCGATGAGAATGATGACTGGACACTACCAAAAGAGGATGGGCTTCAAGACTTTGTGGGTGGTGGTGATGGCCTTCTTTGGTCAGATGTGCGAGAAGCAATGAGAGAGAATGCAGATGCTTGGCCAAATATTAGGAGCAAACGAGAGCGTTATAAAGACGATGATGATGATATTAGAGATGTGGGGAATGATATTGATGAAGAGAATGCCTTGGATGATGTTGACTCGGAAGCCAAACCCATGCAATACGATTAAACTGTATTTAACACGTTGACACCGCCTAGTTTCCATATTACTATATTAGAATAATATGTTATGTTTTTGTATGACTTTTTAGGTTTTATGATATTAATTCTATATAGACATATAATATTAATACTCAAATATATAAATATAATTTAATATAAATTCTATATAAATATAATATAAAATTATAAATTATACGTAATATTAAAAAATCGCTATACTACCGTTATATAATCGCGATAACCGCAACTTCAAATAGCAGTTTATGACCGCTATTAAAATTTTAACCCCTTCTTATTAACTATTATTTATAAAATAATGAAACAACTTGCGTTTTGTTCCTCCAATTATTTTTCCTTATTAAAGTTGTAAAACGTTCGATTATTAGTGTCCATAGAGTGATAGAGTATTGAAACTGCAATATACATCGCGTCACGGCATATTCCCATAAAGATAACAGGTTATTTCGTAATTAAACTGAAGTCGAATGGCAACAATATCCAAATCCTACACCTTCTTTCTTCTTCTACACCGAGAGTCCGAGACTACCACCACTCACACCCTTTGATTCCTCTTTCCATATTCCCCAAATCTGCATCTCCAGTCAGATTCACACTTCATTTTGTACAAATTCTTTCCAATATACCAAATCCGACATTAAATACTTTCCTATCTCACTTTGAATCGATTCATTTCTTCCCGGATTTGGTAAATATTCTCCATTTATAGCTCAATTTAATATTTCCAGGGTTTTCGTTCACTCTTCAGTTGAAATGTTGCGTGGGCTCTCTAAATTCGTCTTTTAAACGGGTATAATTACGTCTCCGTGTATAGTTGAAGCGATCGGGTTGATTGAGAGGGTTACCATTTTGGTTTTGTTTGAAGTTTGGTTGCGATCTGTGACATGAAGATCGAGGATTTGGAGGATTCTTCTGATGTGAAAAATAATCAACAAATTGTTGATTATAATTATAGTCGGCAAATTGTTACAGTGGATGCGAAGAGAGCGTTGGTTGGAGCTGGGGCTCGCATCCTGTTTTACCCCACACTTCTGTATAATGTTTGTCGTAACAAGATTCAAGCTGAGTTCAGATGGTGGGATCAAATCGATCAGGTTTGTGCTGTTTTATTGCATCCTGCTATGTCAAAGATGTTATATGCGATTGTTTAACTAAATTTGTTTCGTTTTGAAGCACAGAAACCTAAGTAGATGGAATTTCTATATGGATTTTGTGTTTGTCGTAGTTTAATTACATCAGTAATCGAACTTAACTAAGAGTCAACTTGATATTTAGTGGCGGATATGTTCTTGATGTGAACTATAAGATCCTAATCAAAAGAGTGGTTGACCATTCAATAGCTTTAGCGAACTGGTGAATTAGTTGAGTAACTTCTTGAGATAAACAAAGAGTGTTTTGACCATTTGATAACTTGGATTACTTGTGAAGTAGAAGAAAATATCATTCACTTTTTGTTTTATTTGTTTGCTTTTCATATATCTAGTTTCTTCTTCTGGGTGCTGTTCCATTTCCAAAAGATGTTCCAAGATTGAAGCAACTTGGTGTTGGTGGTGTCATCACCCTCAATGAGCCTTATGAAACTTTGGTTCCCTCTTCTTTATATCGTGTAAGAACTTATAAAAAAACCAAATATTTACATATGTAAAAAATTAATTCCAGATTTGTTTTATACCTGATGCATTTGTCTACTTTTTCAGGCTCATGGTATAGATCATCTCGTTATTCCCACCAGAGATTACCTATTTGCCCCTTCATTTATTGACATTGATCGAGCAGTAAATTTCATTCACAGTGAGTAAACTCTACTTTCTTGAATCTTTTTTTCAAGTAATATGTATTATCATAATATATTATTTTACTTTTAACTACTGATGTGTGTGTGTGTGTGTGTGTTTATTATAGAGAATGCAACAAATTGCAAGACTACATATGTACACTGCAAAGCTGGAAGGGGTAGAAGCACAACAATTGTACTATGTTATTTGGTAACATCACTTAAATTTGATGAATAATGTAAATTTTGTTTTTTTTGAATGTAAGGGTAAAATGGTCATTTGTGGAACTTTTAGGTGGAATACAAGCACATGACTCCATCTTCTGCACTGGAATACGTACGATCTAGACGTCCTAGAGTGCTCTTAGCTCCATCTCAGTGGAAGGTTAGCTCTCTATTTTTTTCAAGGGTAAAATGGTCATTTGGTATAATACACAGATAAATGAAAGTACATTGCTATTTTTCACAGGCAGTTCAGGAATACAAGCAGTGGCGATTAGCATCAACTGCCACGTCATCACCATCATCAGGGGATGCTGTTTTGATCACGAAAGCTGATTTGGAAGGGTATAATGGTCAATTACAAGGCAAAGAATTGGCACTTGTTCCAAGAGTAGCAAAAACAAGGCCCATGATAGCAAAACTATCATGTCTTTTTGCATCTTTAAAAGTTTCTGGTGGATCTTCACTAATGAATATGAAGTTAACTGAAGCCCCAGCTTGTTAGTTACACTGGTTTTTTATAAAGAGGATCGAAGAACAAAAAGGACAATATAATATAATATATAATATAATGTATATATATATGTTTGTTTTATGTTAATGAAAACGTATTGCTTTTTGTGTTTGTTTGGGTAATGCAATTATATATATGAAGTAGGGTATCCACAATTTATAACACCATTTTTACACCAAAAAATATATTTTCCTTTTGTGACTGGTATAAATTGTCTTGAAACATTAATTCTAGTAATTAACTATAATCTTTTTATTATAAACTAGAAATATATTTTGAAAGTTTGACTGTAAATGAATATATTCTTTTAAAACAAAATGATGCAAGAAATACGGAAGCAATGAAGTGAAAAATGATGCAAAAAAACAGGATTTATAGTGGTGAGGTATCGTGTTTGATGTTCATCATACTTATTAGACGGAACATGTTAGGTTTTTTTTTTTTTTTTTTTTTTTTTTTTTTTTTTTTTTTAATGTTGTTTTTTGGGTGGATAAATTGGTGTACATAAAAGTCGTGTATAAGTTAATGGATCATGTGTTTAGCTACTCACGCCATCAAAATTGGACCAATATGTTGAATTTATTTTAATTGATGGATGAGTGTCGATGTGACTATTTGAAAAAAGAATGCCAAAAATCATTATCTAAAATCCTTGTAGCAAATATAAAAATTTGACATTTTACTACCGTATTTACAATGATATTTGTATAAAAAAATAACCATAAAAACTAAAAAGACCGTAGGAAACTAGAAATGGTTGTCAATCAAATAAAATGACTTCCAAAATATAACCGACTTATTACAATAAGTAGATATCTTAATCGATTATTATTTTACATTGTTTGTATTATATAACCTATATATTTATCAAATGTTGATTTGACATGATGAACAGTAAACATAATATCTTAATCGATTATTGTGGGTTGGAATTTTCTCACTTTTGCTTCGAACCCAATCAAGGGATTATACATTATCTTTTTAGGTCCCGTTTGATAGTTGCTTACTGAAAAAGAGCTGACTGGGAAAGGTCTGTCTGGATAAAAAATCCTGAATAAGTAAGAAACCATATTGTTTGATTGTACATCTGACTTAATGTGCTGACTAACGAAAAATTACCATTTTACCCTTCTACTCTATACAATGATGGATGAAGTTGAAAAAATATACAAAATGTAAATTACGCACAAATCCTTTAAAAATCCAAATAAAAATTATAAAAGGAATCATTGTTTTTATAAAGTTATATGGTATATATTTACCAAATGGCTTTTAGCCCAACGGTACTAGGTGGTGCCCTCCCTCTTTGAGGTTGAGGGTTCAAGTCCCATCGTGGACATAGGTGGTAGTAGGTGTTAGATTAGGAGTAGATTTATATATTTGTATTTCCCAGTTAAAAAAAAATATGATGTATTTCAAAAGGAGAAATGAACTTTTAAGTACTCTAAAAGGAATAGAAGTCTACGTGGTATGTAGACATACAGTTGGTTTTCATTGAGCAATCAATCAAACACATGGTATGCATAATGTATTTCAATAAATAATACATTAAGATGATTATAGATAAAAGAAATACATGTATAATAAATCAATTAAATGTTTAAGTACTCTAAAAGGAATAGAAGTCTACGTGGTATGTAGACATACAGTTGGTTTTCATTGAGCAATCAATCAAACACATGGTATGCATAATGTATTTCAATAAATAATACATTAAGATGATTATAGATAAAAGAAATACATGTATAATAAATCAATTAAATGTGAACCTGTACCTGCATATTGAAATCAATAATAAAGCAATAGTTTTTTTTATTGAAATTTATAAGGAATAATCAAAGCGCATAGGACTAAATATCACTTCCTCATTTACCATATACAATACAAAGCACATGAATTGATTTCATAATCACATAATCCAATTCGCCATGTCAATTTTGACTTTTTATTTGACTTTTGTATTTCAAGATTAGAACTTCAAGGCTTCAATCAGGTGATCAATAGAACCCATTACATCTTCGTTATTGACCAAAAAACATTGATAACATCCAAATTCACCAACTTCAAAAATTTATTGATAAAAAATACAACGCCATGGAATTCATAATCTCCAAAAATAAAGGTATGAAATAACCAACAACAGCAAAATCACTTGAAAAATCGAAACTTTTATTTCTCTCAACAGCAAAACAAACATTCAAGAGCAAAAGAACATTCAAGAAGAAACAACCAAAATTGGAACTTTCCCATTCAGATTTTGAAAAATCAAGAGCATAAATCGGAACATTCAGGAACAAAATAATTAGAACTTTTATCCCTCTCAACGGAAAAATCGGAACTTTCCCAAAAATCGGAACATTCAAGCGTACCTGATGAGATGAGGAAGGTGCTTCGATCGGTGGTTGGAAGAGGAAGAATGAGGTCGACGATGTTTTCTGGTTGGGGAGAAGAAAGGAGCTGCTGAAAGAGGATGAAGAAATGAGGCGTTGGAAGAGACACGTTAGGGAATGGTACTATTGGAACCTTTCTCAGTCAGCCTATTTTTCACTTCTTTCTCATTAAGATATTCCTTTGCGAGTCAGATGCACAAAAGTTGATTATCAAACACTTATAGCTGACCGAGTCAGCCAAAAAAGGTCTGACTCGACTCGGTCAAACGATTCTCAAACACGACCTTAATTTTACTTCTTAACCCGTAGTTACTTTTTTATTCATTTTTTACCCTCCAAATTTTGTTTTAGTTTAAAGGGAGGATAACTTAAAAGAGTAATATACCTTTTGATTTATATATATTTAGTCACTGAGATTTTTTTATCTATATTTATCCTTCAATTTGTTTAATTGTACACATTCAATTCTTATAACCGGCTACTCCAGATAAGCCGTAAAAAAATAACTTAATAGGGTAATATATTTCTCACTTTGTACACATTTAATCCTTAATATTTTTTTGCATATTTAGTCCTTAATATTTTTTTTGTTGCAAATTAAGTCTTTATTGTTTTTGTACACATTCAATACTTATGAACGGTTTCTTTAGGATTTTTTCACGACATCCTAAACGTGACAATCATTAACGAGATATTCGGGGTTGTTCATGCTTATGGTCACCGCGACCTTGATTGTTTGGTGCTTCGGTATTGTGTTCTGAACGTCGTAACTTCTTCATACGATCTCGGATGTTAACGATCTTTATACCCACACATTCGTATTTGAGTCTACTGCAAATTTTCGTTTAGATTACTCCCGTTAAAAAGTAATATATTTTTACTTACGATCTTTATATACATGTGTTATTTATGAATATATGTATGAACGTTTTTTGTATAAAGAACGCGTGTATATAAAGGTTGTAAGTAAAAATATATTTCTTTTTAACGGGAGTAATTTAAACGAAGATTATAGTAGACTCGAATACAAATGTGTAGATATAAAAATCGTTAAAATTCGGGATCGTATGAAGAAGTTACTACGTTCAGAACACAAGACCTAAGCACCAAGCAATCAAGACCGCGGTGGCCATAAGCATGAACAAGCTTAGACATCTCATTAATGATTATCCCATGTAGAATGCCGTGATAAAAACCTAAAGAAATCGTTCATAAGTACTAAATGTGTACAAAAACAACAAAGACTTATTTTGCATCAAAAAATATTAATGACTAAATGTGCAAAAAAAAATATTAAGGTCTAAATGTGTACAAAATGAGAAATATATTACCCTATTAAGTCATTTTTCCGGCTTACCTGGAGTAGCCGGTCATAAAAACTGAATATGTACAGTTAAACAAGTTGAATGAAAAATATGGACGAAAAAAACTTAATGATCAAATGTGTACAAATTAAAAACTATATTACATTTTTTTAAGTCATTATCCGTAGTTTAAAATTTCGACCATTCCATATATTTATTTTAGGGTAAATTATACCAATCGTCATTCGTCCATGTGCTAAAACACACGTTTAGTCCTTATTTCAAAAATTAACTCGGACCGTCACTCGTTTGGTTAAAATGTGCACATTAGGTCCCTCGTAGACATAAAATTACTATCTTGCCCTTTTCTTTTTTCTTTTTTTCATTTATTTTTCAGGTTTATAATTTATCTTATCATTTTTATTAATTATAATTCTAGAAAATAGAGCGGTCCTTATATCATGCCTGGGACCTCAATACCTCCGCCAACGACCACCCAATACCTCCAGCAACCACCTATAATAAGCTTCTCCGACGATCCCATATCCACAATCACGGTGTTGAAAAATCTCTACGATTTAAGATTTTTTGTCAGAAAAAAAACCTAGTGTAACATTCCGTTTAAAAATTAAATAAATAAATAAATAAATAATAAACCCTGAAGCCGTAGTAAATTATCAGGGTGTTAGTGCGAGGAGTTGAACTGTAAAGAATTCTAGAAGCTGGGGGCAGTTTGGTAACTTTTGGACTTGAAATGCAAAGAAATTCATGAATCAAGGGCTGTTTGGTAAGTAGTGGATTTAAATTGAAAATAAAAGAGGGGGAGGGGCCGGAAGTGTAAAATTGGTTAGAAGTTTGATTTTTGGGGACGGGGACTTAAACCCGTCACCCCACCCTTCCCCTCTTCTCATATTTGCCCTAACCCTAGAAAACGTTTCATCCGCCACCCTTGTTCCTCCACCTCTCCAGCCGCCACCTCCCTGACACCGACGTGAACCACCGAAGCCAACCACCGCTGCAACTTCCGCGGCCGACGAAGACGATCACCGCAAGCTGACGTCGTGTCAGTCGGGGAGATCGGAAGACAAAGTTCGGGTTGTCGCTGCTGCTGCTCTCGGTTAGAGGTCACACACCTTTTCTTCTCCGCCTCTTTTTTTCTGTCGCGTGTTGCTGTCATTGCTCCGACTGCCGCATGCCACCATGAGGGTAGCTGAGTTCGTATGTGCGTATTTCATAGTTGGGGCTCGTATGTCATGTGTGTGTATGTCGCTGCTACAGTCGTGAGGTGTACGTGGGTCTGTATTTGGCTGGCCGGAAAATGAGAAGAACCACCATGGCAGCCAACCATGGTGGTTGCCACAATGTTGCTTTTTCTGCCGCCACCAGCTACCGTGTGTGGTGGTTGTGTGTGTAATATTGTGTGAAT